TAAGCAGATTTGGGTATCATGCCCAATATTAAAATGAATAATAATTAAAAGTGTGATGCTAGGTAAATATGCCCTTGTCTCTTTGCATCACCACTTTAATACTTGCTAATCTTTGATTTCTCAGTTTGGTTAAAATCTTCTATGGCTTTCAGATGTTGATTTTTTTGCTTAGACTATCTTTCCACTACAGACCACCCATTCTCAGCTCTTGCTCATCTGTCTATTTCCATTTTCACTGGAGGGGTTTTTTCTGTGAATTTGGAGGAAATGAGCTGAAAAGAAATGAAACTGAAAACATGGCCACCACTGGCAGGATTTACAGAGTTTAAGGATTGAACAAGGCCGGTTTTATTACCTTGAGTTTTGTTCTGAATTTCCTAGCATTTTTTTTTCTCTCCAGAGACATTGGAACTGTGACATTTTTATGGGGAAGTCACTTTAAAAGTTGTAATGGTTAGTTAACAGACAAGTGGAAAGAGACATTTGGGAAGTAAAGAATGACAGCTGAACCTGGCACAGTGGCTGACATTTTTAATTCTAGCACTTGGGAGACTGCCACAGGAGGATGGAGAGCTCAAGGCCAGCCTAATCTTTGTAGTGAAGCCTTGTCTCAAAAAAGAGAAACAGAGAAACAAAAAGAAAAGGAAAGATTGGTGCTGGGAGTGTGGCTCAGTGGTAGAATGCTTGCCTGACATACACAAGGTCCTTAAAAATAAAAGTCAAAGATGGCAGGAGACTAAGAGGAAGGAGGAAGTAACAAGCAAGCATCTATACCCTTTTCCATTCCTGTCTTTGGAAAGGAGTTGGGTAGGAAACCCACAGGTGATCAACCAGGTGAGAGCCAAATACATCATCATATCGGAACCTGACATTTCCTTTCCACATCCTAATTTCTATGTTGTTAACCCCTCTGATAAAAACTTCTATGTGGTGGTGGCTAAGAGGTTTATTGGCTGTGTTTGTTTGTTATTGTTATTTGTTCTTATTGTCTTGTTTTGAGATGGGGGTCCTACATATCACAGGCTGCCCTCGAACTTGTAGCCAAAAATGACCTTGAATTCTTGAACCCTCTGTCTCCCATTCTCAAGTACTGGGATTACAGCCCTGTCCTTCCACACCCAGCCATCAGAATTTCTATTTTGACTTGTTTCTTGAGCCAAAAGGAATTCTAGGCTATTCCCATGATGCAGTTTGAATTGTATAACTTTCCTACTAAATTCTTCCTTCAAGCTTGTTACAGAGCAAGCATCTGTTCATGAAAAACTTCCTGTTTGTTTCTCTGGTGGGAAGAACATGAGCATGTGGGTGCCCTGTGTGGTGTGTGTGTGTGTGTGTGTGTGTGTGTGTGTACAGGCGCACACGCATGTGTGCGTGCATGCATGTCTGTGGAAGCCAAAAGTTAACCTTGGACATCCTCTCAATCGATCTTCACCTTAGTTTGTAAGACAGGGCCTCCTGCTGAACCTGGAGCTTAAGGACTCAGTTGAATGAACTGGCCTGCAAGCCCCCAGGGATCTGCCTGTCTCTGGCACTGAGGTTGCAGATGCATGAAACTGTGTCCCAGTGCTGCAGATCTGAACTCAGGTCCTATGCTTGCACATTAGGCACTGTACCATGAGCCATACCCCAACCCCCCCCAATTTTTATTTCTTGTAAAACATCAACCAAGAGCACTCCACAAAAATCAATGAAGACAATGCCTATAGGGAAAGAAAAAAAAGGATCAAAGAAGACTAAATTTTGGGAGTATTTTATTAACTGCTTATTTTATTTTTATTTCCACATTTGGGTCATAAGCTTGAGTTACAAAGAAAAATAATATTTACCCACATAAATATTCCCGAAAATATTTTTCACTCTTGCGAACATTTACCTAAGGCTCCCTACATCAGCAGCCTTGTTTGTTCTTTCAAACATGTCCAATTTCACTTTTGAAATACAGCATTTTTCTGGTTTTTGAAAAATGTCTTTAAAAGCAGGAACAAGCCCTTCTCTTCAATGGAGTACATGAAAGGTTTCTCTGTCGCCTCCTCTCCTGGAATGGTATTAGGCTGGCCCTAATTTCATTCCTCTAAATATGGTAACGGTGGTTTGAGCAGGAAATCTAAATCTGGCCTCAGAGGTAGCCCAGTGATTTTCCAGGTCAAGGCAAAGGGAGAAAGCAAAGTTGGAAGGCTTTGGTACCGGCAGGCCCTGGTGCTCGATGGGAGAAGCCTGCCACCTAGTGGAACATAGCGGCCACTGGCGCTACTTGTATCCCTTACAGGCCTCAAAAAGTAACTTGAAAAACCACATTGGACCCCATAAATGTGTACAGTGACTATGTGTTATTTTAAAATGACAAATTTAAAAAGTAAATGTTTCTACAAACAAATATAGCAGATTTCATGATCCAAAGCTTCTGTTAATGCCAGTACACCAACAAAATGTTCCTTTTTACTAACGGAAACTGCGCACTACTACCAGGTAGAAGAAGTCGCTTCATAAAGTACTGTTGTGTAGAGCTGTTAACAACCCTCTCATTCTGACAGCGACCTGGGTATCCTGGGTGCTGTTTTCATATACAATGACTAAGAAGCATACTTAGCCTATCTCTCAATGATGAAATTCACACCAGAACGATGTAAACTCCCATGCAGATAGTATTTTCTAACTTGTCACATACATGTAATAAACAGTTCACATTGTCTTTTGGAAATAACTGATACAGTCACGGATGAGGTCAGAGCTAGAGGGGTTGGGTCATATGACTATTGTTGCTTTCTTCTTTTCGTTTCATTTGTTACACTTTTTCAGGTAATTGCTATTAATTTCTATTAAAGGGATACAAGCACCATATATCTTTGGTAGCATAGCCCTGACCTATCCCTTCCCAACTGTAGGCTTACCTTCTACTTTGGACCCTAATAGATGGGTTGTAGGTAGGTTGCCATTTCCCTCTCTTGGCTTCTATGTGGGTACTGTCTATTAAACGTTGTCTGCTGTGGAACCACACTGCCACGTACCAGTAACACTTGGACGTTCCATGAATAAAATCTGTTGTTTATGTTAAATAAATTAAAGTAACCACCCCTCTGGGTACAGAACTTTATGCAGAGTGCACCAAACTAGAAAAAGTTTGAGACTTAGTCTTGCTATACTTTCCCTTGCATATCATCTCCAGCCACAAGTTAGCATCTCCTTCCCTGTAATGTTTAAATGTGGAAACAGAAGTCATTTCCAGTGAAAGGCTCTTCTGTCTTAGGGAACACCCACATTGCCTGTGGAGTAGATTCCAGGGGCCCTAGAGAAATGAACAGAGCACTCTCAACATCATAGAAGAAACAGATAAATCCGGTGGGTGGCATGAAGATGGAGATTGCCAGGTTCTAGTCCTTTGTCACCCACTAAGCCCATCCCAAGCATGGCACAGTGGCTGGAAGCAGATACATGAGGATGGATGTAAAAGGCCTTTTGGCATTGACTGTTGTGGAGACCGATTATTGTCCAGAGAGGCCAAGATCCCCACATCACTGCCTGCTCATCAAGTGATATGGGGGTTTCCTGAAAGATTTAAGTGACTTGCATGACAATGTCACACACTAAGATTCATGAGGGCACCTCCTTCGAGATGACAAACTGACGGGGGGGGGGGGAGTTGCATGTCTGCAGGGGACACCTATAGCCCTGAGCCACGGCTGCGCCTGTCTTATAGAGCCTGTGTAAAGAGATTAGGATAAGCTCATTAGAAAACATGTTTAGTATTGCTGTCTTTGTGAAAGCTGATTCAAAACAGGACAATATCAAACTTAGAATAAGCAATTGAAGCGGTTGTTTCCAATATTGCAAAGTTTGTGTGAAGAAAAACGAACTGAGGGTGGACACAAAGCAATTGGTGAGGACAACTGCATAGCACCACGAGCATTCTAAGTTTGAAAGTCTCTGTGATTCATAGTGAGAAATGTAGATTCCAATGTCTCTAAATTAATTCCCTTTAAGAATTTACCTTCTTCCTGAAGATGGAAAGGCTGACAGCAATGTGGGGTTGTGGGGACTATTCTACCTGCAATGAAAATGTTCAACCAAAAAACAGGCCTTCGCCTACTGTTTCTAATAAGGAAACTCCAGAGTAGAGACATTTGATCTTAAGGGAATATCACCAAAGAACTGCTGCTATTGCAAAACTAGGAAGCAGGAGCTAAAAGCCTTCCTGCAGCCCTCTCCACATCTTCCATGACTACCCTCCAAAGGGCTCACTTCCCTCACCCATGTGCATTGGCCTGGCCTCCTTCATATCCATCTCTTCCTGTGGCCACTGCCTCTGCCTGAATGTTCTACCCAACATTAGCAAGGCTCATCTCTGTGCTCTTGTTTTATTTTTATGAATCAGATTCTATACACATGTTCGATTTGCATTAGAAAATTTCTTACTTAATCGTAAACTTGCTCGCTTTTTGTTTCAGTTTCAAGGTAAAAACACCACCCAGCAAGATGCACCATGCTAATTCTGCAACCTTGGAGACTTCTTGGTATTGGAAACCCCTTAGGCCATAATCCCCACTCATAAATGTAGACTGTGGGTACCATGTGAAGCATGTCTTGTGCTCAAAAGCATGATATCACAGCTGTTCAGGGAAGGCAAAAGATTAAGAAAGACTCTACAGAGCCAGCTGTGAAAAATGTGTTTGAACGATGGTATAAATGTATGACAACAACAAAAAAAGTATTATTTACAAATTCTTTTCAAAGTAAGTGTCCTTAGTTTTTTCAACTGTCTGCTAAGAGTCACAGAAGATGGGAGTCTCGATTGAGGGATTGCCCATATCAACAGGTCTGTGGGCATGTCAGTGAGCCATTATCAGTTGTAGGAAGGGAGAGCCCACATGGTTCCTGCCTCTGCCCTGCCAGGGATTCTCTCAATGGCAGACTGTATCCTGTGAGGGGAAATCACCCTTTCCTCCCTTTACTCGGAGTGTTTTGTCATAGCAACAGACAGGAAACTAGGACAATTAGAAAACAAGTCATTTTAAAAACATACATATGTCTTTAATACACATGAGCAGTAACTGTGTAGCATTGTCAGAAATAAGCTGCCTTCAATGAGAGACTTTTTTCTCCCCAAAGATACAAGGTACACACATAAATCAGTCATACTTTACACATGTTCAATGTGGGGAGGGCACTTTAATTTCATAATTAACTATGAATATTTTCATAGCTTGAAATTCCAAAAACATTAACAGAATTATTCATTTCCATAATTGTTATGAGTAAAAAAGGAATGGATCCTGTACCTTAATATTGTCATTCTATGTTCTATGTATTACTCAAAAGTACAATAACCCTGAAGGCAAAGGAGAGTCCCTTCCTTTCCATATATAGTATAAAAATACTGAGACAAGAGCAGGTATTAGTAATACAAACCAAACTATATTTTAGAATACGTTTCATAAACATAAACTTTCCATCTTTTCTCTTTGGTTCAAAAAATAAAAGAGGTAGGCTAAAAGTCAATGGTTCCTATTTCACTAGATTTTAAGAAAGTACTTATAACAGAAATTACCAGAAACCAAATGAGTATATAAGCTAAATCTTAAAATGTCAAGAATATATATGTGGTTTTTTGAGACAAGGTCTCACTATATAGCCCTGGCTGTCCTGGATCTCACTCGGTAGACCAGGCTGGTCTTGAATTCAGAGAACCACCTGCCTCTTCCTCACAAGTGCTGGTACTGAAGGCATGTGCCACCATTGCCCAGCTAAGACTATCGAATATCTTCTTATAGAAGAAATAAGGTTTTTCTAAGTTCCAATAAAATATAATTGACTACAAAATCTGCTTGAGTAAAAAATGTTAAGTGCTGTTGATATTACAAGTTTCCTCCCATCTTCCTAAATCTTGAGGCAAGTGAATGTGTGAATGGATGTATATGTTCACAGATTGAGACTTTCGTTCAAATACAGAAGGTGAGCATGTACCATTGATGAAAGGTACTGGTGCCTTAGCTTGGTGCATGTGAAAAGCATAGCTTCAAAGGACTTCAACCATGAGGGTGTCATTTACCTGAAATTAATACTCAAGTCATGAAAAGAGCAGTCTCCGATCTCGAAGAAGGTCCCAGGGAGCCTTCCTGATTAAAAGAATTTAATTCAAAGATTAAAAAAAAAAAAAAAAAAGCAAGACACTCTCTGGGAAACAGTACAAGCAAAAGTTTTGTTCACTGATGTTTTTAAAAGCAACAGCAGAATAAATAGGATTTGCCAAATAGCTCATATCAATAATTTAACAACATATGGAAATCAGTCTCTAAAACTGGGGACCAAACAAAAGTGCAAGTGAAACAGAAGATTGTCCATTGGAGTAAACAGTACCTCATAGCTCCCCTATACTCAAATTTGGCTATTATAATTCATTCTTAGTCCGCTTATAGATGACGATATTAAACTGTGAAAGACTGATTTTAAATACAGTGATTTTTTTTCTACTAATGTTCCTCTAGGAGAATTTTACATTTATAAAGACATCCAAAATATATAGAACAAATTAAGTTCCAAGGCTTTCTGATCACTTTGGGTTTTTGTTGGTTTGTTTTTAATTGAGTATAAACAAAATATTAATCTAAACCTGAACCAATCAGAAGAAAGAGTAGTGATTTATAAGTCTACCACACAAAATGATCTCAGCCTAAACAAGTACATTTTCAGATTTAGGGTGCAAGGCACGATGGATCTTTATCAGCAAATATAAAATACAGTTTTGTGGCTTCTTCAACTCTTATTGAAACTATGATTTGGAACATTACTGAAGATATAAAACTGAGCCCAAATGCTTGAAGTAATTGAGAGTCTCTCTCTTCCCTTTCGTTGGGGGAGAACAGCTTCCCTTTGCAATAGACTTGCTGCAGTCCCAAAAGTCACTGGAGAGCGCTGGCAGCTTCGGTCATCATGGAAAAGAAGGCTCAGATGTGTCACTTCTGAGCTACCCCTAGCGTCTGCTTCATGTTTTCATACACCACATAGCTGATGCCAACAGCGGGTAGCACCTTCATGAAGTTTGGGGTGATGCCTCTATAGAGACCTGACACTCCTTCTTTGGAGACTATTCGCTGAAAAAGGCCAACCATGCTCAGCTGGGGGGCCCCTTCCACCATGGCTAGTGAACAAAAAAAAAAGGAAATCAACAAAAAGATAAATAAAAGTGAAGGAACCAGGCTCAACCAATATTCAAGCATGCCTCGTTATTATTACAATAGACAATCGGGGATTCAGAATGGTGTCTAGGAAACAATGCACTGTTAAAAATCAATTCTGAAGGCAGCCCTCTTGGTGCAGTGCCTGCCAGTGAGTTACAATGGCAGCAGCACTTTATGAATTGCTGTTCTAAGATACTAGGTTAATTACTTTCCAAGCTAGCCCTTTGGGATAAATGCGTACATTTCATAATTGAGGAATTAGAAACTTGGAAAGATCGTGAGCCTTGTCCTGAAACCCCAGTTAGCTAGCAACAAAACCAAGGAGCTGTGGTTGGTGCCCAAGCCCTTTTAACCATATTACTCTATCACAGCATCCTCCCCAAGTTCTGACTAGAATGGTTAAATTTTGAATAATAGTGAAATAAGAGATTTGGAGAAGTTTAGAAAGAGTATAAGAGACCTGGGCCTTGTAACCATCTCAATAGAGGGAGAGATGAAGAAAGGAAGAGGAGAAAAAGGAGAGGGTGGAAGAGGAGGCAGCCATGTATCGCTGGTACAACAAAAGACAAAGGCAGACACAGGCATCAGGGACAAGACCATGGTGATAGTTTGGATATGATTATCACCCACAGGCTACTAAGGGGTTAGAAATGCCCACATGTCGAGTAGCTATTTCCTCCAGATTGAAGCATTCCCACAGGATGGAGGAGACTCCTAAGACTCAGGAAGCAAACACAACCTGCCAAGCTCAGAGAACATTCACCGGTCCCCTTCTCTTCTTACTCTTACCCTCCTCCTCTCCAAGGTTACAAGAGCAGTTATAACTACTGCAGACAGGAGGCGCCAACATGAGTTTCTTGCAGGTTATGCAGGGAGCTCCAGGGATTCGGCTTCTGTGGGTGGTCACTTGCTTGCACTGGTTGCAGAGTGGGGTGAGGTGAGTGTTGCCTTTGAGTCACTCAAGCCCCTTTATGTAGCCATCACCCACACTATAGTCATAACCTCAACAAACTCGCTGACAAACTACTCTAGACGTAGGTGGACCTGTTTCTTTGGTCCATCCTTGCCCTGTCTGGATGAACAGACAGATGTCAGCTCACTCTAGTCTCCGCATAGTGGCGGTCAGGGAACAAAAATGGAGCTAAAACTGAGGCATGGCATGGTCTCTGAAGACTTCAGAATTCCCTCTGAGAACTTCAGAACTGACTCTGGAAAACTTACCAAAAAAAAAAAAAAAATCTGAAGAGATAAGAAATGAGTGGGCCCTGATGAGAAATGGCAGGTCTTGACAGCTGTGCCAGGCCAGGGCTGGAGCTAAAAGGAAAGGAGCTCCCTGGGCAGCAGGGTAGATCCCTGAGTGGGTCTGAACTCCAGCTCTGTTTTCTACCAAATGCATAACCCTCTGGACATTTCTTAACTGTTTTTGTCTGTTAGTCATTTTGTCAAATGTGGATGATATCAGTATCAAGCTCCCAAAATGGTCACAATGGCTACATGAGAGTCTATACACATTCAATTTGCTATTTTGTTTACTATTTTGCATTCCTCTCTGCAGCTATGATTACCTCTCAGCTCCTCAAATATGCCACGCTGCAGGCCTGTTCCCAGCTAGCTCCCACTGCATTCCTAGGCTTCATCTGGAGTTAGGATAGAACCCATGCCATGAGTTGTTCTCAAGGGCCATCTTCAGGTTGGATCCATGTCTTTTACACTCTACAGTGAACAGATTCATATCCGACTTGTTGCATTCTCTTACCCTAGCATTCATCAGACAGACAGAGTGCCTGGTCCCAGCAAAGGCTCAAAAGTGGGTTGACAAATGACTGACTGCTTGATTGAAGGGGAGGAGTTGGAAGTGGGACCACAGATGCCCAGCACTCATTCATAAGAGAAAGTACAGTGATGAAGGTGACCAAGGAAAAAGAAGAACAAAAAAAAAAAAAAAAAAAAAAAAAAGACACAGAGTATTGCATGTTTTCAAAGAGTAGGCAGCAATAAATGCCAGGAAACAGTAAGGTGGCAGTAATCATTGGGTGGCAGGAGAATCAGGTTAGTGCACCCTAGGAACCACAGAGGAAAGGGTTCAGTGCCAAGCTTAGGGTCTGAACAGCACTGATAATCCAGCCACCACGTACTTTGAGAGTTTAGCAAATGCCAAATTCTTTGCATATATTCCTGCTCTTTCATCCCTATTCATGGAAGACAAAATGAAAGAGAGAGACGTGAGGCAAAGACCTGAGCTCAAATTTGCTAGATGTCAAACCTTATGCTCCTAAAGCATGGATTATTTCTATAAAGGGAGAGCAACAACAACAGAGAGAGACAGACAGAGAGAGAGAGAGAGAGAGAGAGAGATCCATGTGAGTAACATCAAGTGTCACCACAGCCATCCTGGAACCCAGACCCACCTTGTGCCTGCATGCGAGTCCTCACCAAAGCCAGGGGGTAACTGGCCAGCTGCCCACAGGTGCTGGACAGAGCACCACAACCCAGCAGCACCACCACACCAGGGTTGACAGAGTCCTTTGCAAAGTTATCTAGCCAATAAGTCTTCAAAAGCTGCCCCAGAAACAGACAAACAAACAAATCAACAAAGGAGATACTCAACCTTTGTTCATGAAACATAAACATCTTCAGGGCTGTTTCATGTAATCAACTCTTTAAAAGTAAAAGTAAAATATTTTAAGCATAAAATATATATGCTAATACATAAACTAAAAAAAAACACCTATGTACCTAATTGTGATGGTTTGAATATGTATGGTCCCCATAAACTCATGTGTTGGAATGCTTGGCCCATAGGGATTGGCACTATTGGGAGGTGTGGCCTTATTGGAGTAGGTATGGCCTTGCTGGAGGAAGTGTGCCACTGCAGAGACAGACTGAGATCGCAAAAGTTCAAATTAGTCTCCTGCTGCCTGTAGATCAAATGTAGAATTCCTAGATCTTTCTCCAGCATCACATCTGCCTGCATGCCACCATGTTTCTCACCATGATGATAATGGACAGGGTTCTTTGCAAAGTTGTCTAGCCAATAAGTAAGCCAGCCTCAAAAATGTTTTCTTTTATAAGAGTCGCTGTGGTCATGGTGTTCCTTCACAGCAATAGAAATCCCAGCCAAAACAGCCACCATAGGCTCATATGTTTGAATACTTGGTTCCAGTTCGTGGAATTGTCTGGGAGGAGATGTGTCACTGGGTAGGGGAGGATCTTTGTGGTTTAGATCCATCCCCAGTTATCTCTCTGACCCTTACTTGTGAATAAGGGTGTAAACTCTAGAGTCATACCTGCCTACCTGCTGCTGTGATCCTGGCCATGTTGGTTATGGACTCACCCTCTGAAAATTTAAGCCCCAAATAAACATTTTCTTTTATAAGTTGCCTCATTCATGGCATCTTATCAGAACAATAAAAATAGTAACTAAGACTCTAGCTTAATTTTTTATTTGTTTTTGCTTTTGTTTGTTTACTTGCTTGCTTTATAGAATTGTATTTCTCAATGGAAACCTTGCAGTCTGGGAGGAAGTAGGATGTTATATTCCAAGTACAAAGACAACAAAAGGACCCTGCCAACCAAGAACAGTATATTGACAAAACTGACTTTTGAATATAAAGGAGAAAATAAGAACTCCACCAATAAATAAATGCTGAGAGAATGTACAACCACTTGGCCTGCAAGAGATGACAAAAGGCATCCTCCAATCTGAAAGAAAAGGGCAGTAAGCACCAACCCAAAGCATGAAAAGCCCATGGTCAAAGAAAATGGTATTCTTACAATGCTGTAATATGGAGTATGTAAATAATTTTGAAATCCTGTGAGGAATTCAAAAATAAAAGCATGAGAATTCATTGTAAATCTATGTTAGAGGAAACACTATGAAAAGATCACTTTTGATGACTTTTTGTCATCAAAAACAGACCAGGGATGTCCAGGGGAGAAGGAGTGTGATGGGAGATGTCATACTGTAAATATGTTTCTCTTATTGGTTAATGAATAAAGCACTGTTGGCCAATAGGGAAGCGAGATAGGTGGGACTAGGAGATGTGAAGGATTCTGGGAAATGTTTAGGACAGGGTCACGATGTGATCTCGGGAGGAGAGTATGCATGAGTCTGATGTTCTCGGTAAGATAAGAGCATGTAGAAATACATAAATTAGTAATTATGGGTTAATATTTAAGATAGTTAAGACAGAGCTAGCCAATAAGAAGCTCTATCCATTGGCCAACAGCTTTATAACTAATAGTTTCTTTGAGATATTTGGAACTGACTCGGCTCTGGGACCAGGCTGGTAGGAAAGAATGCTTCTAATAGGAGTGGGTTTTATATACAATACTGATTGACTTGAGACAGATTGTTGCACTATCAAGGTGTTTCTATTGGAGGGATACTTGATTCATAGGAGGAGTTTGAGAGTGCTCCCTATGTTTCTTTTCTTTTTTTTAAGTTAATTTTATATGAAGAGTTCAAGAATCAGCAGCAATCACTCATCCTTGTTACAGAGTTTGCACATGACTACAAATGTCATTCTTAGTTCTTAGTTAGGTTCAACAGACATCATAATTGGTTTCTTTACACCAACATCAACCCAAACATGTAGGTCATGTCTTGAGTCACTGATGTTAAGACACCTAGAACAACACCAGGCAACACATATTTTTCAGCCCCATTGTAATCTGAGGCAATACCACCATATACAAATGGCCCAAATATCATTATGTGGCAATTATTGTGTGTATTGTATGATGGGTTATTATTGACCCAATAAGAATAAAGAATAAGAATAAAGATGTGTGAGACATGAACCTTCAGGGCATTCTGTTAAGTGAAATAAGTCAGACACAAACAAATAATATTGTATGACTCCACTAATGAAACACCTAGAATACATACATTCATAGAGACTGGGGGTAGGTTAGAGGTTCAGGGGGTGAGGGTCAGATGAGGTAGGAGATTACTGAATAGTAGTTTTAGCCGATAAAGAAAAGTTTTGGAAATTTACAGTAAGGGAGGCTGTGCATTTGTGCAGATGCAATTAATGTTACTGAATTTCATGGTTAGAAAAGAAGTTTTATGTTTTGTCACAGTTAACAATGAAATATTCCAAAAGCCCTTAAATTGCACGTTTTAAGCGGGTGAGATGCATGGCATGGGAATTGTATCTCAATAAAGCTGTTCAGAACAAGATGAAGTCTTGGGTGGGTAAAGAAGGAAGAGATCTATGAAAAAGTAGAAATAAGAAGCATAAGAAGCAAAGTATAATGATAAATGTATAATAAATATGTTTAAAAATAAGCTTTCTGAGATATAATACATAATGCATATATAACAAAACAAGTCTTCTGAGATGCTTTCATTACACACCTTCCCTCCTGAGCTGGGGCTCAGCCCATTCCTGATGCATGTGCTGGCTCACATCTGTCATAGCATGAAGAACAATGCTGAGTTTATGGGCTTGCCCATCTCATCAGACTTTTGGGTTCTTAAAGGCCCTGACCCTTCTTTCAACCCAGTATCCAATACCACAGTTTGAATATAGTGTGTGTTCAGTAAAGGTTTGTCAGATTCCTAAGTTATTAAGTGACCCATGTGGCAGGAATGGCCCAAGTGTGTTGGCCTGAGTTGCAGGAGTGACCCATGGTTCGTATTCTGAGTTTCCCGAGCTGTCTGAGTTGTCTGAACTCATCTCCATGCTCATGCTTCACTTTATAGACTGAGCTGCCTTCCCCACCCACCCCCACCCGCTCCTCCAGCCCCAGAGATTGTTAGGTGAAGCTGTGTAATCCACATCACTCCCTGGCTTTATCAGTGCCAGGTTTCAGTAATTCTAATAAATGTCTGCTCATTTTTTTCTGTACCTCCAAGTCCCTTGTGCCATTATCTAAGCTGCATTTGAGTTCATTAATGAAAATAAATATACAAGTAAACCTAATACAAAAAAAAAAAAATGGCTCGCAATCAGGGTGCTGGAAAGATCAAAGAACACAACTCTACGGGCAGTCCCATCATGAACAATTCTCTTTCATTGGCAACCAACTATCCACCATGCAGACTGCCTGCACTGCAGACTGAAGTGTGCTGTACCCTCACTCACCTCGTACACGGCAAGATCGATGCCTGCATAAGGAATGATGCCTAGTAAGTTAGGAACATAGCCTTTGTAAAAAGCCCCAAAGCCTTCCTGCTTCAAAATCTTCTTGGCACAACCATATATTCCAGAATATTGTCCAGTTTTGGCTACAGCTAGCCGGGTTTTCAGAACCTAGATAACCAAAGAATGCAACACAATGTCATTCACATTTAACATCAAACAATTCACAAGTGTTGTTTTTATGAAGCACTAACAAATTCTATCTCTAAAGAGAATGTCCAGTTCATTGATAGATTCATCCTCATGCATTACTTCCATTGAGAAGCTAAAATCAGAGCCAGGAAGGGTCAATTATTTCAAAGACAGTCTGGAGGAGGGTTTTGAAATAGAAAGAAAGAAAGAAAGAAAGAAAGAAAGAAAGAAAGAAAGAAAGAAAGAAAGAAAGAAAGAACAGGAAAAGAAAAATGTGGACCAGATAATCCTTTTGATGTCATAATAAAATTATTTGGCCAGAAAGGTGAATAAAATGATGGCATGGGGGCACAGGGGACAATTCCAATGTCTTCAGCTTGGAGCATAGGCTGGGGAGGTGGAGGGGTAGGAAGGTGATGGTATTAGTTGAAATGAGGGGTGTGTGTGTGTGTGTGTGTGTGTGTGTGTGTGTGTGTGTGTGTGTGTGTGTGTGTTATCATAAAAAATCTCTAGAGTCTCAGAGGTAGCTTAGTCTACAAAGTACTTAATGGCAAAACCATGTAGACTTGAGTTTGATAACCACAAAACCCGCATAAGAAGCAAAGCATGGCAGTGGATGCTTGTGATTCCTGGAGAGGTTAGACAGACAGCTCTCTGGGGCTTGCTGGCCAATCAGTCTAGCCTATAGCAGGGAAGACCAGTGAGAAACCCAGTCTCAAAATACAAGATACATAGTGCCTCCTGATGACTGACACCTGGGGTTAACCTCTGGCCTCCACAGGCACATGCACACACATGTGCACCCTCATGCCTGCGCATGTGCACACACACACACACACGCACACACACACAAAAATCTCTTGGCATAAGTATCACAAAGAAGTTCCAGTTAAAGGTATAGTTTATAGTATATAGGTCTTATAAACTATTGAAAACCCCTAATTGTGTCCATAAAATTATTCACATCTACTATATTAGTTTTGTTGTAAAACAGGAGTTAGCAAACACTTTTTGCAAAGGCCAAACAGTAAATATTTCCGTCTTCGCTAACTTGAAATTTGATGTCTCTGACATCTATTCTTTGCCTTTCCTTTGCTTTCCTCCTGCCTTTTTTTTGGGGGGGGTGTAACATTTATTAGCTGAGGCTGTGCTAGCAAGCCCATATTCTCTGGAAGGATGTCTGGAAGGATGTTACTACCATCCTACAACCAAAGCCTCAGCTTCCACTCCTGGGGTCATGGTACAAAAGCCCACTGGAGGGGAATGAGAGTTGTAACCCTTATCAGCACTGTGGCAATCAGCCTCTGAGATGGCCCCTAAGGGTCCTGTTTCCAGGGATGCTGTGCTTTGCAGGATCCCCTCACTGAGTACCAGGGTCAGTCCATGTAGCCAACATGGTATAGTGAAAGTGACAACAGACAGCAGTTTAATCCCACACAATCTCTTTCTCTCTTCTCACTCACATCACACTGACTGTAAATGAATCGAGATTGCCATGCTGTGAATATACATGAACCATCTAGAAAGGCTTGCCTGAGAGACAAATGCTTCCAGCCAATAGCCATTGAGGCCTGGCAGGAGCCTGCTGAGTGAGTGGGAAAGCAGATCCATCCCAGGTTAGCCCCTAAAAGACTGCAGCCCTGGCTGATGCCTTGACAAAAGGTGATAAAACACCTGGAAACCAGGCAAACCCAGCTGTGCTGCTCTTAGACTCCTAATGGCCAGAACTGTGAGATACTAAAGGCTTGTTTCAAATTGTCGAGTTTGGGTTAACCTAATACACAACTATAGCTAGCCAGTGCAAAGCCACCAAGCAGTCAGGCTACAACGGTACTTGCCTCCATAGGATAGATAAAAGTCTGTGCAGTTGCTCCAGCCATGGAACCAGAAATGAACCTCTCAAAGGTTCCTAATTTTTGTCCTTCCTCTGTAAGCAATTTCTTGTACTGTAAAATAAATATATAAATAATTTTCAAGATGCATATTTATCTTGGCTTTAGAGTAACTGTGGTCCCCGCCCAATTGTTATATTAAATCCTAATCTCTATTGTGACAGTATTAGAAGATAAGGCCTTTGGGGATTATAATTAGAAGAGGTTCTAAGGCCTCAGGATAGAACTAGAATCTTTATCAGAAGGGACACCTGTTAGCTTATGGTCTGCCAAACCATACACTAAGGCCATTAAGTGTGGAGCAAGAAGGCAGGAAGAAAGTCTCCACTGCCTGACCCCTTGATCTGATACTGCTTAAGCTTGAGAACTGTGAGAAGTCTCTACTGCTCAACCACAGCTTTGATGGTATTTTACAGGGGAAAAATGCAAATCAGTTCCTAGAAATCAACCCACTTATGGTGAGATGAGATGCGTCAAGATACATCCTCTACATTAATAATCCTAGCAGAAACGTGGGACTTAAATGCCGGTTCTGTTTCCTGGGAGGTAGGTTTTCAAATTAGGCCACCACACAGCTGGCATTATAGCTCTGTGGTTGAGCTCTTGCCTGGCACATATAGCAATCCTAAGTGCAAATTCCAGCCTCATTAAAAAGAGGGAAGGGAGTGGAAGGAAGGAAGGAAGCCTGTTAGGACAGCCAGGTTAAAAATCTGACAAATGTTATCAAGTGTGCTGTGTGTAGACGTTCAGATATACTGAACTTCCTTATATTAAAATAACAGCATTATTTTTAATATGCATCTTAGTGGTCATAATTTGAATGCTCGGGCATTCAAAACAGGAAAATCTTTTTCCCCAGAATGGGCTCCACTGAAAGACCCAAGGCCAGCTGCTCTTCTTTAAGTCAGAGAATGGACACCACTAGCTATGGTCATTTCAAAAAGGTGGTACTTCTCAAGGATAATCTCTCCAGAACAGCATTAAACTTACTCAAATAAGAAATTAGGATGTGGAGTTAACTTTAAGGTTCATATAGGCCATGATTAAAAAAAATTATGGCAGAGGTGACAGAAGAAAAATAATTGTATAGCAACTCCAATGACTCTGCTAATAACTGTAGAAGCCAACCTCTAAACCTACTATTGTGTTTCAATCTAGTCAACAGAGAGGGAGGCAAATGACTTCATTTATTATCTCATACATTCACTCAACAAACACTGGGCACTCACCTGGCTGCTGGAGTTCAGGAAGAAGCCAGACCCCTACTTTCATGGAATTTTCAAGCCAAAAACAATTCCATTCACCTGAACAATTTTCTTTCCAGGGGTGCTTTTGCAAAACTTAGATTAAGTGTCCTATGTCCACTAGAATTCAAAATGAGTCAGCTAAAATCAGGCTTTGAGAGGCTACTTAGAAAAGAGGTGGGGGGAAGCCTCTCTCTATAAATGATATTGTGGAGTCCAAAATCCCAGGATTCAGATGTGTGGAATCACTGAGTTATTGAGTTCTAGTTTCTCATAGAGAATTTCCTCCTGGAGTTTTAGGAACCAATACCCAAAGCATCGCCTGCTGATCTTTACTGAATCGGTTAGCTACCTTCTTTTGTTAATCACTTTCACAGGTAATGACAATTACCTGTTCATAAGCCCAGAACTTAACAGCTGTCTCGGGAGCGATTTTAATGACATTTGTGCCATTTCCTCTCCACAGGGAACGGATTCCTCCTTCCTTTACCATCTGCCGAAAGCCTCCAAATATATTCATTGATTTGGAACCATGAACCTAAAAATAAAAGCAATGTGTCATGGGATACTTCTGCTTATTGTGGAAACCATTTCTAAAGTAGGTCTGAGCTGAATACAAACACTGGATACTGGATGTTAAAGCTTCCAGAGGTCTCTGATGGGCTGCAGCATTCTGCTCACCACTTCACACATCTACACCAGGAAAGTAAAGCATTAGGGCTGCACAGACAGATGCAAATTGACATTTGGAATTTTCCTGGACTCGGCCCTCTGCACTTCCTTTCCTAAGATAATCTGAATCCTTATTTCTTCCCTGTAATAAACCACAACCATGAGTCTGTATTTTTCTGAGGCCATCTAATGAAGTATCAAACCTGAAGGAGACTTAGGAAAGCCCTTCAAATGTATAGAAACTACAATCTTAACAAACCCACTTTATGTTAAATAATAAGCTTCATAATAATGTATGACAAAGGGAAAGATGTGTGTCTATTCTAGCTTTCTCAAAGTCAGTTTACTACTGTACTGAAGAAAAAAGCATCTATCCTTTGTGTTCAAACAACTTAAAAATAAAAGTGTTGTCTACATAGATAGCCAACAATAACAAGCATGACTTTACAAGCATTTTCAAAGGACTGCAGAGATGGCTCAGTGCCAAGATGGTGCACATTTGATTCCAAGTCCCTACATAGCAGCTTACAACCATGCGTAACTCCAGTTCCAGGGGATCTGGATCTGTGGGCACAGCATGCATGTGACACACATGCATACATCCCAGCAAAACACCCATACATATAAAATAAAATAAAAAATTTTAAGCAACTACTATGTTCTTCTAGGTTATTCCAGGATGCCAGTGCTTATTTGAGTTAAAGTGTAGAGCCATCTTTGTTATATACTCTGACTCCCGTCATGGAATGGAGGAAATGACATCTCAGAAATCAAATGCAGGGAAAGAACCACGAGCTCTAGAGGTAAAGCTACATCATGCCTTGTCTACTCTCCTTCATAAAAGAAATTTTAATTTTTACAGCCACAGTTTCCTCATGAGTATAATAAAGACAAACCACCTGCTTTACTGAGCTCCCGTGAATATGAAATGGGTTGCCATGGTGAGCACAAATGGATATTTCTTCTGTTCTCTTCCTTCCTTGTGATCAGCCCAAAGCCAGGCCTGTCTAGAAACCCAGGTCTTTTCTGCTAACTTAGCTCAAGAATCACTTTTGAAATTATATTTTTACCACCAAGATTCTAGACTTGAGAAATCCTCTGCTTTCTCAAGCCATAAAATCAAAGAAAATATATGTAATTTAATGATAACCCTAGAATAGGAATGAGATTTTTTTATTATTATTATTTAATTAAACATTTGTAGTCACAGCATACCAACAACTAAGATTTCATTACAAACAAGTACTAACAATTTACGGTTTATTGCAACAGTATCAAACACTTAGACATGTGCCTAATCTGAAGGTTAATAGTAGCAGAATATAATTGTCTAAGATAGGAAGGGCTGTGCCTGGACATAGCATGCTTTCAATACAGACTGGCACGCTTCAAGGCTCACCTGCATCATGACCTTGAGGCGATCCAAAGGTGCCGTGCTGGTTCTAGAGACTGCACCAGCCACGCCTCCTGCCAGCAGCTGCCGCCACCATTGTCCTGATTTTTTCTCATCTTCTGTGAATTCATCTGGAATAGTTAAGCTATCCCCTATGTCAATGCCCTGGTGAAATGGAAAGAGATCCCACAGTTCTTCAGTAGCAAACAGATAGGCCCAGAACTTTCTTTTTGTGACAGAGCTGTTACTGTTAGGATCGAGGCTCTCCTCTGAGACTGATAGTGAGCCAATCTGAGCACACATTAATGAGCATCTAGTCACACTGAGCTGGGAATTCAGGTACAAAGTCACAACTTTCCTTTCTTTCCAGATCAGGCGACTTTTATTGGACTGAATTGCAATGAAGAATAATATTTTACCACATTTAGTTAATCCTTGTCAGTCACTTTTCACAATTCTAGAAACCACACAGTTGGTGACAGCTTTGAAAAACTATTTATCCAGTACTTCAGATACTCTATTTGTCTTAAGTCTCATACTGTACGCCATGGTGTATAAATTTAAATATGTTAATTTAAAAATTAAACCTTGTACATAAGTAGCCCTGTACTCATCTTCTATATAACTTGAGAGCCATTTTATTACCATGATATTTTTGCAACTTAATTGTCTAAATGCTATGGTGGGTATGGCCAGGTCATAGAGCTCCAGATTCCAGTACCATACACAAAAAAATGACCTTGACATAAAATTTTATAGAAAAGAATGAAAGATAATGAATGAGCCATACTTTGATAGTAATGCTCTCTTCTTCATTACCAAGAAAATTGATTTATGATTATAGCATCAAATGTTATCAACCATCCCCAAAGGCATAATACAAAGTTCACAGAGTGTAAATTTTATACTCATAATGCTCTCTGTAAGCTTAAGTATTGTTACTAGTGACAATGTGAGCTCTAGGTGTAGCGTGGGAATGAAAGATACTTCTCTCCAAATACAAAAGATAAGACCATGGGTGGGAGATCCTGCAGAAGGTCCCACAGGGCTTCAAGGAACAGATTGCACAACAGAACCTAATTTGCACCAATATATTTTAGCAGAATGTTAATGAAACAATCACAATCAAATTTTGTGACGCATACACTAACAGGAAATTCCAAGCACATGATTCAACATTGTTCTCTAGCATTCAATGAGTAAGGCAATCCCTTATGACAGCAATAAATCTAGGCAGTCAGACTGAATAAGCAGTTTTGGGAGGGACCTGAGGCCATGTCATCTTTTAGCAATCTGGAAGTGCAGACATGGTTTGGTAATATGTGTCTCCTGACATTGAGACTTCCCTATGGCAGAGGCATTAAATGTCAATGAAACCCGGGCAGCCTGTTCATCAAGATGGGATTTCTTCCAACCTTTGTGAAAAGCCATATTTATGCCACCTAGGGGGCTTTAAAGATGCTCTATAAATCTGTGCCTATTAGAATAAAATTCTAGATGTTAAATATATACTGGGACTCTCTTGGGACTTGGCCACCTTTCCTAGGGTGTTACGGCATTCTTGGGTGGTAACTGTTATGAACCAGAGCTCCACTGAGAATATGTGATTTGTTAAGGCTGACAGCCTGATGAGAAGAACTTCAGTGGTGTGGGAAGATGGCAGCGTTGCTAGTCTAGAGCCAACCTAGTTCAATTACCTTTATCCCCTTAAATATATATTTTTTGCCCACCTCTGTGTTTGACCTAACAACCTTGTGACTATTAGGGAGGTATGAACAGATCCCTAGATTCTACCAACCCAAGGGCTAAGATCACACAACACCTGAGGTCCATAGCAGAAATTCCCCTACTTTTCTATAAACCATCTATCTACCTGATGTTTCCACCAATGTATTTGAAAAGTATCTTGATTTATGGTTTTCTTTGCTGTGTTACTATACAAACCTCATGAAACTATTTTGATGTCGTAACACTGAGTCTATGTTTCCTGGCCAGGGTCCCTCATTTAGAAACAAAACAAATTATCTCTTGTCTGCTTTGAGGTGGAAGCTATGTTTCCTACATCAACACTCTACCTGTGGCTTAGAGCTATAGACACAGAAAGCAAACTTACAGTAGAGTGTTTCCAGAAACGGATAATTTCCTCGATGTCTGAGGCAGGGTTAAATAAGAAGTAATCCCTCCATTCATCCCAGTCCACTGTCATTGTTCCATCAGAATCGATGCTGAAAGTTTAAACCAACCAGTTAAAGAGCAAGAAAGACATGGACACAACTGACAATATTGCCCATTTTACAGAATGAAACTTTGTTTCCAAGGTTACTTTTATTGAATTTTAAAAACCCATTGGCAGGTTTAGAGGGTTCATCAACAAAGCATTTGGTTAGCAGGCATGAGGACCTGGATTCCATCCTGAAGAAAAATACACCACTCACAATTATACATTGCTGAGAATAGAGTCACATATATTATGATCCTTTCTGACTATTCAAATATTACAGAGAAAGTCCACTACACTACAGACTGCCTTTAGCACTCCGTTAAACTCAAAGTCTCTAGGTTAAAAAACACAAAAACTGGACAATGGAATACTGAGAGGTATGAATGAATGAATGAATGAATTCATGACACATTTTTTCTCTCTCACAAGCTCGGGTATTTTTTCTTAATATCCTAAGACCAAAACATCGGGGTGAGATATTTTAAATAGATACTAAATATGCCATCAATTTTCTTCTCCAATTTTCATCGGGATACGAAAATTAACAGTGAGTCTAAGAAATCAAATTCTTAATGCCTGATTACTTGAGTTTTGAGAAATCCTGGTATTTCTTTAATTCTATACTTAGCTCACTGGCATCGTACAAGTGTAATCAGTAATACAAATCCTGAGGGGTTTTTTGTCTTGTTTTGTTTTAACAAGCTTATGACAGAAAGCCTGTTCTATAAGATTTTCCTAAGAACAATGCAAAATCATTCTGGGTTTGATTGCATTGTTCAATACAAATAGCTACTGAAGTGACAGGTGCATGTACTGGGTTAACATGTCTGAAACAAAAAAACATTTTGGTGTTTCCTCAAATTTTATTCTATAATTTATATGACAGTGATGCATGCAGGCATCATGCAAAAATAAAATGCAATTTTCAGATACTTATTATGTTTTCAGTACCATTTTCAACTTCAATGAACTTATGTGAAATTATACTTCAACTTTTCCTCCCCCAGTGGAAAGGTGTCAATGCTCCATATTGGCTAAGAATGCTAATCGCTGCTTATGTTCAAAATGTATTCTGGGTTGCAATATTAGCAGCTTTGATTTTGTCAATATTTTCTAGTTTTTGTGCAATGACTTAGCATCAAATCCCATCCCCAAATTCGCTTTCATGAACATTGTCTATGAGGTAAGTGTCACTTTAGAAATACCACACTACTATTTTGTTGTTGTTGTTGTTGTTGTTCGTTTGTTTTGTCTTGTTTTGTTTTTTCAAGACAGACAGGCTCTCACTATGTAGCTCTGGCTATCCTGGAACTCATTTTATAGATCAGGTTGGCATTGAACTAAGAATGATCCTCCTGCCTTTTGCCTCCCGAGTGCTGGAGTGCTGGGATTAAAGGCAGGTTGCTACCACTGCTGTCATCCCACAACTTTAATGTTTTCAAGTCAAAATACCCCTGAATTTCCATTCTGACCCTTGTTGTGGGAAAGCATGTGACCATCTGTGCTATTTTGCTATGCAGCATATACGCTGACACTTGGATCTATTTTTGAACTCAGGGTTAGAATCTGCTTTATTCTTAATGATATTAAAGGAAACATAAAAATAAAATTCTGGTCTTAAACAAGAGAGGAAGAAAATCCACACTTTGCTACGGGTTTACTAATCTTCTTTGCCTTTTTAAAGAACTAACTCTTTGTTTTATTATGATGAAAAAAAATACCTTCAGTAAACTATTTGCACATAAACTGAAGAAGATAACACATTTAAAAGATTACGAGCTGTGATGAAATTAGTTTTATTCCAAGGATTTGAGAAGCAGGCCAGAAAGATGGCTTGGGAGTTAAAAGCACTGACTGTTTTTCCAGAAGCTCTGGATTCAATCCAGCACCTACACAGCAACACACAATTGTATTTAACTGCAGTTCCAGAGGGTCTGATGCCCGTTCTTGCCTCCATGGGCACTACAACTACACACATCTCTCTCTCTCTCTCTCTCTCTCTCTCTCTCTCTCTCTCTCTCTCTCTCTCTCTCACACACACACACACACACACACACCAGCAAAACCCATACACATAAAGTAATTTTAAAAACTGTTCAACACACAAAAGCCAATAAATTAAGCTAGCACATAGCAGAACTAGAACCAAGGACAGAAATCACATAATCTTCTCAATAGATATAAGAGAAACTTTTGACAAAATTTTACATCTCTCTATAATAAAAGCTAGTGGCAGAAGGATCCTATCTCAACATAATAAAAGCTACATGTGACAAACCTATAACCGACTTTATATTGAATGGCATAAAATGAAAGAACTGACTCTAAAATCAGGAACAGGTCAAAGCATCCTCTTGTTTAATACAGTGTCTGAAGCTTTAACAAGAGTAATAAGACAAAAGAAAGAAATCAGAGAGATGCAAATAAAAATGGAACAAATCAAATTATCCTTATTTTCAGATCATATGATCCTGGGGTGGCATCTTGTTCCACCAATAGACTAGAAGTATTGGCCACACCTTAGGGTGTGACTTCAGTGTGGACATGACCCCTTGTAAGGAAGAGGAGGAGGTCACTAGCTCTCTCTTGGGTTGAGCATCATGAAGAGGTGAGGCTGCATCTCCAGTAGCAGAAGACCAAAGCAGTTATTTACCATCATTGTGTGAGTGTTCCCCAAGTAAATATCTGTTAATTCTTTGTCTGGGTTTTTGTAGATTTCCTTTAACCTGCCATTATTACCCTGTATTTAAAAGACCCTAAAGAGTCTACCAGAAAACTCTTAGATCTGGTGACACTTTCAGTAGATTAGTGAAATACAACACTGACATATAAAAACTGGTAGCTTTTCTACGACCAATAATAAGGAAGGAAAACCATCTCATTCACAATAATTGTAAATAAGTAAATAAATACTAGGAGCAAACCTAACCAAGAAGGTGAAAAATCTCCTTAACAAAAGCTTTATGTATAAAATACTAAAGAAATGGACAACATTAAAAGATGGAAAGAGCCTCCATGCTCAGGGATTGATAAAATTACTATTGTTCAAATCACCATATTACTAAAAACCAATCTACAGATTTAGTTTAATCCCTGCTAAAATTCTAATGGCATTGCTCACAGAACTTGAAGAAATAATCTTAAAATGTAAATAAAATGTATATAAAATTCATATAAGACCTCAAATAGCTAAACCAATTCCGAGTAAGCAGAGTAATGCAGGAGGTACCACCCTAATCTGATTTTAAATTATATTACAATGCCTTAGCCACAACAATAGCATAGTACTAATTCAAAAACTGTGCTTAGATCAAGACATTAGAACAGAGTGCCCAGAAATAAACCCAGTCAACCACAGACACCTGATGTTTCTCAAAAAGCAGACTTTTTGGCTACTATAAATGCCCTTTCCTGATAGTGAGATCAACAACTAACTTATCCACCATCATGGAGCCCTCATCTAGTACCTGTTGGAAACAGAAGCAAACACCCTTAACTAAACACTCTCAGTCAAACTAGAATCCAGATGCAGAGAGAGAGGACAAGACCAGGTTGCAGAAACACATAGAGACAGCTGACCTGAACAAGGAGGAGCTAACAGGCCCCCAGACTGATAGCTGGGAATCCAGCATGGGACTGACTCAGCCCCCTGAACATGGGTCTCAGCTAGAAGGACTGAGCAGTCTAAAGGACCTCAGACAGTGGAACCAGGATGTATTCCTGGTGCACAAAAGGACTTTGCAGACACATCCCCCATGGAGGGATACTCCCTTAACCTAGAGACAGCAGAGAAGTTCTAGTCCCTACTTCAAATGACTTTACAGATTTACATGACCCCACCTGGATAGCATTCCCCTACATGTGGAATGGGGGTGAGGAGATGGGAGGGGAGGGTGGTCAGGGTGTGTGTGAGGGGGCAAAGAGGGTATGAGGGAGGTAGGGAGGGAGGGAGGAAGAGAGGAAGGGAGAGGGAACTGGGATAGACATGTAAAATAAAAAAAATAATAATTATAAAAAAAATCCAAAAAAACCCCAAAGCAGCCTTTTCAACAAAATAAATAAATTAGAAAGAAAGAAAAAAATTGTAATTAAAAACCAAAAATCCCACAAATAATCTAATTAATAAGTGGCCAAATGAGCTGGACAGTTCTCAAGAGAAGATGCATACATGCATAAATGGACAATAAAATATGAAACCAGTAAAATGAAAATCACATTGATGCCCCCCATTACCTCATTCAAAAAAGACTGACATGGAGAAGCAAAACCAGTGGGTGCACGAGGGAAAGAAAACTTCACACTACTAATACCAAAACTAGAACCAGCACATTGTAAGATCTCGTCATGGTGAATCTCATTACCTTAGAGAGATACCTGTGCTAATATTAAAAAAAAAAAAAAGGAAGAAACCAAACCAAATTCATTTTAAAAGTAATAGTAAGGGGCTGAAGAGATAGTTCAGGGTTTGGAAGTTCTTTTGGAGGACTTAGGCTCAGGTCCCAGCACACATGTGGTGGCTCACAGCCATCTGTTGTTGGAAGACATTGCTGGCTGGTCAGAAGTTGCAGCCTCCGCTATCAACATGGAGCTGCAGGAAGCAAAGCTTCCTGCTCTCTGCCTGCCCTTATCTGGAGAATGTCCTTGGGCCTGGAAGACTGACCTTATCTGAAAGCTGTCTCTAAACCAGATGCCTGTTTCATCTTTAGCTTGACCCTTGGCACAGATCACCACTGACAAGACTTATGCTAGGGGCTCTGGTAGAGGACCCTGTGATAGGAGCATGCCACTTAATGCAAACTAGGGTTTGCCTGCAGACTCCCCAATCCTATATATTCCTTATGCTCTGGAACAAAATTGAATTGATTCACTAAAATCTGTCTCCAGAACTATCTCTGCTCATGCTCATGAGCTACCAAAGCTTTCTGTCTCCCATTTGCCTCTTTCCCCTCTCAACCTGTTCCCAGAGAACTGACACCTCTCCTGTGCTCTACAGGCATGAGGCACGCCAGCAATGCAGACAAAGCACTCACTACACATAAAGTAAATGATTAAAGTAACACCAAAACCCTTAGCTCCTAGACATAAGACCCACTGCTGTCGCAGTGCTCCTGAAGTCTTGCAACACCCGACTAGTCTAGTTTAAGCACCCTTCTCCCATCCCTGCAATGTAGACAATGTGTTAACATAGACATGAAAATGAAATAAAGGAAGGAAAGACAGTAGGCACGTGTAATGAGGTATGTGGAGATTCTGGGAGATATTCGAAAGCAGCACTTAGAAACCAGCACAGAAGACAAGATGTTAAAATAGTTTGTCAGCTCACCTCTGAAGAATCAACTCTGCTTGCTGTTCAGAAATATGCAAACCCAGCATCTGGAGAGACTGGACAATTTCTGATGACTCGATTTTCCCTTCAAACAATGAAAACAGTGTGAGTTCAAGCTCAGAACCTGAGAACACTTTTGAATGATGACAGCAGAACTAAGCATTTGGGTAAGCCAACGATCTTAAACGCATGTTGTGGCATCAATACTCAAATTTTTCACAAATACCTTAAAAATGTACACATATTATTTGATTAATAAAGCCTAGTAGATAAATAGTGATATTCCTCCAAATAGGAGGCCAAAAGCCCCTGTGGCTTTGATGAGTGATAAGAATTAGAAAGAGCTCTTCCGCCAGCCATTGGCAAGAGGTGAGTCTGGGCCTAATTGGGGCAGCGTCTCCACTACACCCTCCCCCTCACCCCCTGGAACTACCTGGGTTGGCGACGGATCCCCCTGCTCCTGTGTCCTGTCCCCATTGAGAGTACTCTTGGAGCTCTGATACACCCCCACCCACCCCCACTGTGAGCCTGCCCCCCCACCCTGTGCCCTATCCTGCCCACTGTTCCGCTGCTCTGGATGAGCACTGGGACAGAGGGAGAAGCCAACAGTCCACACTACTTCCGGGACTTCTCAGAGCAACTCTGAACACATATATCTATAAATCCAGCCCTACAGAAAGTATTAGAAGGAAAACTCCAACCCAAGGAAGGCAACAAAAATATAGGCAACAGATAATCCAACTACACCAGAAACCAAGGGTAAAACAGAACAAATATATTCACAATACCACTGCCAACAACAAACCTAAAACAAACAAGTATCAACAATCAATAGTCCTTACTCACCCTCAACATTAATGGTCTTAACTCACCTATAAAAAGACACAGGCTAATAGAATGGATATGAAGACAGAATCCATCCTTCTGCTGCATGCAAGAAACACATCTAAGCTTCAAAGATTTTCCAATCAACTGGAATCGAGAAGCAAGCAGGCGTGGCTATCCTAATATCTAACAAGTTAGACTTCAAACCAAATTAGTCAAAAGAGATGAAGAAGGTCATTTCATATTCATCGCAGGAGAAATCCATCAACACAAAGTCTCGGTTCTGAACATCTATGCCCCTAACACAAAGGCACCCACATTCGTAAAGAAATGCTACTAAAACTCAAAGCTCATATATATCCTCACATACTTATAGTGGGAGAATTCAATACACCACTCTCAACACTAGATAGGACCACAAATCAGAAACTCAACAAAGAAAAAAAAGAACTAACAGAAGTTATGTCTCAACTGGGGTTAACAGAAATCTACAGAACATTCCATCCAAACACAAAAGAATATACCTTCTTCTCTGCTCCACATGGAACCTTCTCTAAAATCGACCACATACTAGGTGGCATAACAAACCTCAACAGATACAAGAGAATAGGAATAGTCCCCTGTACCTTATCGGATCACCATGCTTTAAAATTGGAATTCAACAACAACACAAATAGCAGAAAACCTACAAACTCATGGAAACTGAATAATGTGCAATTGCACCACACCTGGGTCAAAGAAGAAAGAAAGAAATTAAGGACTTTCTAATATTCAACGAGAATGAGGACACAACATACCCGAACTTATGGGACACCTTGAAAGCAGTGCTACAAGGGAAGTTCATTGCACTAAGTGCCCATATGAAGAAACAGAGGATAGTCACATAAGAGAATTAACAGCGCAACTGAAAGCCTTAAAACAGAGAGAAGCGAAATCACCCCATAGGAGTAGACACCAGGAAATAATCAACTTGAGGGCTGAAATCAACAAAATAGAAACCAGAAAAACAATACAAAAAAAAAAAAAACCAATGCAACAAAGAGTTGGTTTTTTTTTTTTTTTTTTTTTTTTTTTTTTGAGAAAATCAACAATATAGACAAACCTTTATCCAAACTAACGAAAAAGCAGAGAGAGAACATGCAAATTAACAAAATCAGAAACGAAAAGGGGAACATAACAACAGACACAGAGGAAATCCAGACAATTTTCAGGTCATACTTTGAAAACCTGTATTCCACAAAAATTGAAAATTCAAAGGAAATGGACAAATTTCTGGATAACTATCACTTACCAAAATTAAATCAAGAACAGACAAACAACTTAAATAGACCTATAACTCGCAATGAAATAGAAGCACTCATCGAAAGCCTTCCAACCAAAAAAAGTTCAGGGCCAGATGGATTCAGTGCAGAATTGTACCAGACATTCAAGGAAGAACTAATACCAATACTCCTCAAATTGTTCCACAAAATAAAAACAGAAGGTTCATTGCCAATCTCTTTTTATGAGGCCACAATAACCTTGGTATCCAAGCCTTACAAAGACACAACTAAGAAAGAAAACTACAGGCCAATATCCCTGATGAACATCGAAACAAAAATACTCAATAAAATACTGGCAAACCAAATTCAAGAATATATCAGGAAAATCATCCACCATGACCAAGTAGGCTTCATCCCTGGATTGCAGGGATGGTTTAACATAGGAAAATCTATCAACATGATCCACCATATAAACAAACTGAAAAAGAAAAACCATATGATCATCTCCCTAGATGCTAAAAAAGCCTTCAACAAAATTCAACATCCTTTCATGATAAAGGTCTTGGCGAGATCAGGGATAACAGGAACATACTTAAACATAATAAGAGCAATATACAGCAAACCAACTGCCAACATCAAACTGAATGGAGAGAAACTTAAGCCAATTCCTCTAAAATCAGGAATAAGACAAGGCTGCCCTCTCTCTCCATAGCTCTTCAATATCGTACTTGAAGTTCTAGCTAAAGCTTTAAGACAACAAAAGGAGATCAAGGGGATCCAAATTGGAAAGGAAGAAGTCAACTGTCTCTATTTGCAGATGATATGATAGTTTACATAAGCGACCCAATAAACTCTACCGGGGAACTCCTACAGATGATAAACACCTTCAGCAAACTAGCAGGATACTAGATAAACTCAAAAAAATCAGTAGCCCTACTTTTTTCAGACGACAAAGAGGCAGAGAAAGAAATCAGAGAAACATCACCCTTTACAATAACCACAAGCAATGTAAAGTATCTTGGGGTAACGCTTACCAAACAAGTAAAAGACCTATATAATAAGAACTTTGTAGCTCTAAAGAAAGAAATTAACGAAGATACCAGAAAATAGAAAGATCTCCCATGCTCTTGGATAGGTAGGATAAACATAGTAAAAATGGCAATCTTGCCAAAAGCAATCTACAGATTCAATGCAATCCCCATTAAAATCCCACCACAATTCTTCACTGACCTTGAAAGGATAATAATCAACTTTATATGGAAAAACAAAAGACCCACGATAGCCAAAACAACCCTATACAGTAAAAGAACTTCAGGAGGCATCACCATTCCTGACTTTAAGCTCTACTACAGAGCTATAGTTCTGTAGGCATAAAAATAGACAGGTAGACCAATGGAATCAAATTGAAAATCCTGATATTAACCCACACACCTATGAACACCTGATTTTCGACAAAACAGCTAAAATTATACAATGGGGCGAAGACAGCATCTTCAACAAATGGTGCTGGCACAACTGGATGAGGGTGTGTAGAACACTGCAGATAGACCCATGTCTGTCGCCATGCACAAAACTCAAGTCCAAATGGATCAAAGACCTCAACATCAATCCAGCCACATTGAACCTCTTAGAAGAGAAAGTAGGAGGTACCCTTGAACATATTGGTATAAGAGACCACTTCCTGAACATAACTCCAGGGGCACAGACACCGACATCAACAATTAATAAACGGGACCTCTTCAAACTTAGAAGCTTCTGTAAGGCAAAGGACACAGTGGACAAGACCAAACAGCAGCCCACCGACTGGGAAAAGGTTTTCGCCAATCCTTTATCTGACAAAGGGCTGATCTCCAAAATATACAAAGAACTCGAGAAACTAGTCAACAAAACACCAAATAACCCTATTTAAAAAATGAGGTACAGAACTGAAGAAAAAATTCTCAATAGAGAAAATGAAAAAGGCTGAAAGACACTTAAGAAAGTGCTCAACATCCTTAGCTATCAGGGAAATGCAAATCAAAACAACTTTGAGAAACCATCTTACTCCTGCCAGAATGGCTAAAATTAGAAACACCAATGACAACTCATGCTGGAGAGAATGTGGAGAAAGGGGAACACTCCTTCACTGCTGGTGGGAGTGCAAACTCATCTAACCATTTTGGAGATCAGTATGGCAGTTCCTCAGGAAAATGAGAATTAGTTTACCACAAAACCCAGCAATCCCCCTCTTAGGCATGTACCCAAATGATCCACATCCATGCAACAAAGACATCTGTTCAACTATGTTTATAGCAGCACTATTTGTAATAGCAAGAACCTGGAAGCAACCTAGATGCCCCTCAATTGAAGAATGGATAATGAAGATGTGGCACATCTACACAATGGAATACTACTCTGCCGAATAAAATAATGGTATCTTGAAATTCGCAGGCAAGTGGATGGCACTTGAAGAAACCATCCTGAATGAGGTAACCCAGTCACAAAAAGAGGAACATAGTATGTACTCACTCATGAATGGATTTTAGACCTAGAGCAAAGGATCACCAGCCTATAATTCACACCACCAGAGGAACTAGGATACAAGGTATATTCTAAGAGATTCATATAAAGTCCCTCACAGAACCAGGAAGGGACAAGTCCCCCCAGAGCACAGGGGAAGTGGCGGGGGGGGCAGTGAATGGAGAGAGAAGTAGGAGAAAGAGAAGGGGAGGAGAGGATAGCACGTGCGACTAGGAAGATTGAGTCAGGGTAGGAATAGCAGACAGGAGAGAGACAGAGAGAGAGAGAGGGCAGAGAGAGAGAGAGACAGAGAGAGAGAGAGAACATAAAAGAGGGAGCCAATATTGGTTTGAAGAGAAAATTGAACCCAAAGAAAGTTTTAGAGACCTACAAGACTGCCGCCAACTAACAATTTGAGCTTCCATGGAAAGGCTACCATAAATGCCCTTCCCAGATAGTGAGATCAACAACTAACTTATCCATGGAGCCCTCATCTAATACCTGTTGGAAGCAGAAGCAAATACCCATACCTAAACACTGAATTGAACTAGAACCCAGATGCAGATGGAGAGGACAAGACCAGGCTGTAGAAACACATAGAAACAGCTGACCTGAACAAGGAGGAGCTAACAGGCCCCCCAGACTGATAGCTGGGAAACCAGCATGGGACTGACTCAGGCCCCCCTGAATATGGGTCTCAGCCAGACAGACTGAGCAGTCTAACGGACCTCAGACAGTGGAACCAGGATGTATCCCTGGTGCACAAAAGGACCTTGCTAACACATCCCCCATGGAGGGATAACTGCCTTAACCTAGAGACAGGAGAGAAGTCCTAGTCCCTACTTCAAATTACCTGTCAGATCTACATGACCCCAACTGGATGGCATTGCTCTACATATGGAATTGGGGTGGGGGATGGGAGGAAAGGGTGGTTAGAGTGCATGTGAGAGGGCAGAGAGAATAAAAGGGAGGGAGGAAGGGAGGGAGGAAGGGAGGGAGGGAAGGATGGAGAGAGGGAAGGAGGAAGGGAGGGAGAAATGGGATCGACATGTAAAATAATAAATTAAATTTAAAAAAAAAAAGAAACCACCCAAAAAAAGAGTTAGAAACAACAGGAGAGAAGTCTAAATCCATATCTTCTATGAGACAAACTGCGTTAACCAGGAATCATCTGTTTGAAAGTGCCTATATCCACATTCTAACAAGTAAAGGGCATTCATTAAGCATGGAATCACATGTGACCAAGTGCAGAGAGAGCAAGAAATGAAAACATTGAGCCAAAGTGCATACAGCTCTCATGAGAAATCTGGCAGTGAAAACATTAAGGACAGAAAAAAAGTAGAGGAGAGAGAAAAAAAAAAAACAACTACAAGGGAGATTGGAACATAGCATAGATGGAACAGATCAGGGGAAAGGCAAAGAGAGAAAACAGAACACACACCATAGAGCTCCCCTGCTCTTTCCTCAAGTGCCTTACATACTTGTGGGGGTCCTGATGGGGCTGAAATTACTCAAAGAAAGAGGCTCTGCTACCACAGCAGTGTGGACAGCAAGCTCCTCAGGGATGGAGTAGAGAACACATTCATTCTCTGAGAGACGGACCTAAAGAAGCCGAGGGGATCCACCCAGAGAGAGGAAAATGGCAGGGGAATCTGGACAACATTGGGGGATGTCAGAGGGGGTATTGTTTCAGCAATGCCATGCTTTGGATCCTTCCCAGCATTCTCCTGGGCCACACCCTTGAAAGACTTAGAGGTCCAGTGCCAGTAGCTGTGCTCTGTAAAGTTACTGCAGACACTAAATTAGCAAATGTAAATCTACTGGCCCTGCAGAAGATTCGGGAGCAGGTTCCTGGGAACCTCTATCATAATATCTTTATTAAATGATCTAAGATTGCCTGTGTTTCTGTTCAGACACTGAATGATTGTGCATTGTTGATTCACTGACATTGAACTTTTCGAAAACTTTTCTAAGAAATCTACATTTCTGTATGGCACACACCATGACTTTCTTGGAAATACTAGCATTTTATAAAATAAAATATTATCCACCAAATGATGTACAAAGATGCAAAATGCACAAAACAATACAGATCTTGAAAAAGACTACTACTTACTGTCTGAGAGCTAAAATAAAGAAGAATGTCACCTTGTGTTTTAAGAATCAAGAATGTCATCTTATCCTTGCTATGTCTCAACTAGGAATGTCCACATTCATCAACTCAAAGTGTTTACTGTTCTGTGCATGGCCATGAATAACTGCGATACACAAATTGGAATTATTTCTGAGGTTAAATTTTATAAACTGGTAGTGTTCACCAGTACAAAGTCTACAAATGATGAGAAAATAAACTACATATGTTCAAATTAAGGAATCCTTATAAATTAAAATATGAACCTATAATGATGAATTGTTTCAAAATATACATGAAGAAATAAGTGAAGGGGGAACTGTCTGTGTTATGAAAAATATATTGTTAAAATTTCACCTCTATTTCCTGTGGTTTGATTCTAGTTTCCTGGAGTAGACACACTGGTTGGCCAGAGCCACCTATTAACTACAGCTTCAGGGTGTCTGCAGGCACCTGTACTCATGCGAGCGTGCACGCACACACACACACACACACACACACACACACACACACACCTAAAAATAAAATAAAATCTTAAAAAATATGTGAATAAAAATATGAACTCTCAATTGCATTAATAAAATAAATAATAACACAAATAACAGTCATTTAGAGAGATTAACTGTATCTTATCTTAGACTTGCAAAGCAAAAAGGCGACTTTTCATAAGAAGTGTTACTTGAACACACCATCATTATTCTTGTCCAAACTTCTAAATGCTAACTTCATTTTCTTCTCATGGTCTTTCAGGTATTTCATAAACTCTTCAAAGTCCAGCTTCCCATCTTTGTTGATATCACCAGTAGTGAAAATTTTCTACAGAAAAAAGAAGAGAGAAAGAGAGAGATCTAATATTAGTATGGGCTAAAGTATTGAACTAATAATTGTATATAGGCTTCCAGTTTGGACCAAATGTGTTAGTATCCATTATGCTAGGGCTCTGCAACCTTTCCTTTAGCAGTAGATGGTGCCAGTTTAAGAATTACACGAAGACTAAGGCTTCTCTTTTGAAGACAAAAGCCAGGGCCATTTCTTCTGAGCTTGCTGTCATCTCCATCTGTGTTTTATACAGACCCCAAAGATGGGATTTCCCACTGTGGGAAGCTTTGTAGTGGAAAATGGGAGGTTTGGCATGTGAAGGGGTGGGCACAGGTTGGCTAGCCAAGAACAGAGAACCCATTGTGGTTTTATGGAGAGGCAGAGCTGTCTTTAGTTAATCCCAAATTGAAAATGGGAACCAAGATTAGGACAACTGTCAGTGTGATTAATCAAGTCCTGCACACTGTGGAAGGGGCTTTTACTGAAGTTACTATGTGATTTCCTGAACTATCACTAGAGACATTAACTATCTTCCTCCAAGCTCGTCACTCGTTAGGACCAGTTATCCCAGCTGTAGTTGCTGAATCAATCAATGTCTGTTTTCATCAATGGCCCTGCCATGATCTGTTTATGTATTCAGTCTCTCTCTCCTGCTTACAGAATAACAAAAGAAAATTATTGCTTCAAATGTACTATTTTTCATAATAAAAAGGTATCTTTTGCACCTCACACTATACAATGAAATTTCTATCTTATAAAGTTAATTGAATTCTCAGTCCATATGAATGAAATTTCTTCTACAGACATATGAGAACCCACACATTAGAACTTCTTAGATGTGACCTTTACCTGAGGAAAAGCCCAAGAGAAGTGTTCTATGTGGTTAGTGCAGAGCCCTAGGGAATAACTCTCTTGGTTTTGGTAAGTGAATGCTTGTCCATAATCAATGGATATGCGAAGCCTCACACCATTTGTCAAAAAAGATTTGCCAGAAAATAAAATGTTGAAAAGCAATGAGTGGGTTTCAAATAACTTAAGTTGTTTATAGCAAAATCCAGGATTCCTTCTGAAAGGCTAATTGGCATCAAATAAGCAAATACATATCACATTTTGAAAGAAGAGAGACCAGGGTCCAAATATCCACCTCCATATGGGAGATTTCCAACTCTTAAAGTTCCCACTTAGAAGTTCCAGCACCACTCCCCAATAGAATCACTGACTGAGTGCCAAGTCTTTAAAAGGAACACATTTGAGAAATATTTATCCCAACCACAGCAAAAGACACAGACACCACAGTGCAGTTCTTGGCACACGGAATCAACTTTAAAGACAACTGATTAACAAATGGATGCTTCAAATAAAGCTAATAGATTGAAGGTGGTTCTTACTACTTTCACCCCCTTAGGAACAGAAACAAAGCATAATTGTTCCCAACTCCCACTGAGCCCCCAACACATGTGGAGTGAATGTTCTTGTCCTCTAGCCAATGGCACATCTTGGGCCCATATACTATGGTAGTTTAAATAAGGATGGCCTCTACAGGCTCATATATTTGCATACTTGGTCAATCCACACTGTTTGGGAAGGAGGGCGTGGCTTTGTTGGAGGTGCATCACTGAGGGCATGCTTTGAGGCTCAGGCAATTCACAGCTAGTTCCCTCTCCCTGCTTCCAGCTTCTGGATAAGATGTAAACTCTGGGCTACTTCTCCAGCTCCTGGCTATCTGCCTGCTGTCATGCTCCCCACCATAATGGTCATGGTTTCACCCTCTGAAACTGTAAGCAAGCCCTAAATTAAATGCTTTTGTAAGTTGCCTTGGTCATAGCGTCTCTTCACAGCAATGGAAAAGTAGCTAAGAATGTGCAAAGCCACTAATCTCGGCCTCTGGTGACAGGTGGGAACACTGAACAAGATGCCCCCCCAAAAAAAATAAAAAACATAACTGTAGCCAACAGCAAAAGCAATCGGGAGTTGGAAATTTTATTATAGCCACAGAGAAAACTGAGATATATTCTTGAGGATATTAGCTGTGAAGATGACCTTGAACTTCTGATGGTCCCACCTCCCCATCCTCTGTGCTGAGATTAGAGGCCTGCTGCACAACATGGTATACTGGAGACTGAATGGAACATTCTACCTACTACCTACATGCCCAGTCCCTGGGTGATCCTTAACAAACAGAAGCAGTGTTCACCCAGTAGCACCTCAAAGGACCCAGGTCAGTTTTGGGAACGTGTGAACTGGGTTTCCTTCTGCTTCAGGGGGCCTTTCCAGAGGTTCTGGCCCCAACATCGTTCTGAGCTTCCTATAGCCCACCTCGTCATCCTCCTGAGACTGAATGACCCCCAAATCATCCAGGCCTTCCTGAAGTTCAAGGATGTCCACACCTCCGTCTTCATCATGGTCCAGATACAAAAAGAGGTCTTCATAGAGGGGCTCCATCTGCAATGTCTGCTGCGGCCAGGGTGACCCCTGCTATGACCCTCCAAATCCCCCAGAGGCAGAAGTCCCCAGGATAGGAAAAAGAGGATGTATGCCTACGCTGACAGAGAGGGGCCAAAGGCAAAGCAGGGGTTACCACATTGGAAAGAGAGTGCCTCATCCTAACCGTCCTGGGACTGTAGGGAGCACGCGCAGGGCTGATTACCAGCTTACCAGCAGGCTACTCAGGAAGAGGGATTCCACCCCCCCCTCCCGTCTGCTGGCAGGAGGTCCGGCCTCCACCCCTAGGTTTAACCAGAGCCAAGACAGAACCAGCCCTGCCCTGCCACCACTTTCAGAGACCCCAGCACAAGATTGTCTGAAAAGGAAGTTTGTGTTTTGTCTTGTTTTGTTTTGTATGTTTTGAAAAATGCGAGAGTAGAGCGGAACTGGGGGCTACTGCTCTATGATTTGCTAAGAGGAGTAAAGGTCACCTGACCACTTTTGGAAGACCTGGTGGTTTGTGGTTTGTCATTGTTTTCCGGGGTGCCGGGGAAGGACTATGTTAGAACATGCATGTGCTAGAAAGTCGCTAATCGCTCCACCACTGAGCTCCAGGTCCGGTCAACCCTGGGTGGACCTATTCTTCTCTATTCCCTCCATCTCCAACTCCCACCCTGTTTTTTATCTTTTATCTTCAACCAATATCTATAGTCCCTCTGGGGCAAAACTGTTCCATCTGGGCACCTGTTGAGAGGCACCCAGACAATAATCCCCAAATGGTCAGATGTTAAATAAAGCAGCTGGACTCCAACATGAAGGCGGGAAATACTGTTGTTAGTATCTGTGGCTTTTTAATGCCCACCCTCCAGAGCCATGGAAAATGCTGAACCCCTTCTTCATATACCTGTGGTGCCTCGTCCTGCTCCAAGGAAAGTGTGGAAATGCAGTTCCACAGAACATCTCCCTGCTTTTACATAACTTATTTTTCAAACTGAATAGTTAAAAAAATAATAATAAAGTTGACTATCACCCAGTGAGATGGCACATACCTCTTACAAGGGTCAGATAGAAGGTTCCTGAATGTTAGGCCAGCCTGGGCTAAAGCATGAGACCTTTGCTCAAACATAAATATTTTATTAGATATTTATTAATAATAAATATTTTTAGATATGAAAATTTATAAGGAAAATTTAATTCTGCCACTTTCATTACCTTTGGCTCTATACTTCTCATCACACTGAGTGCTGATAGCAAGACAAAGACCTTGGCAACCTAGACAGACAAGGAGGAGGTTACACCACAGTTAAACCTAAGTACTGCTGAAAACTGCAATACACTTTCCCAAGAGCTGGTGAGCAGGGGCCTAACACGTAAGTAAGGCTGTTCCACAAAACATTGTGTCCCAGTTGTGAACAAATTATCCCACAAAATAAATTTTTTTAACTTTTAAATGTATTTATTTTATGTGTGTTTTGCCTGCTTGTGCATTTATGTGCATGCCATTATGTTCTGGTGCTTAATAGGTCAGTAAAGGGCACCGAGTCCCCTGGAACTGGTGTTTCAGATGGTTGGGAGCCACAGTGGTCTGAAGAACAAGGACCAGTGCTTTGTCACTATAAATTACTCACACATTTCTAATTTCCCCACATTGAATGTCATTGTATTCTCCTCTGCCTTCACCCATCTCTCTTTCTGACCTCTCTTTCTAACTTTTTGTTTTGTTTTTAAGTCAAAGATTATACAAGAACATTTTAAAAGACAGTCCCAAAATTTGGGTATTGTCTGAAATACTCTGATGAAAATGAGACACAGTTAGGACACTGGAGATGGAGGATACAATCTGAAATTTAATGTTTTGACAAGGAAGCCATGAGTAACCAGCACAACATTGAAGAGTCAAGGAATCTATGTGGAAGTCTGCTCATGTGCTTAGAAGGCTTTGAAACAGTATAACATCCTCTCCTTTTGAAATTTGGACTAACAAATGAGGCAATACAAAATAATAAAGTGAGGTACACCCAGGATGAATTTACACTTTGGAGGCATTTCTTTGGTCCACACTTATTTTTTGTGACAGTATTTTATGAGTCTATGGAAGAGAGACAGGGTATGGGGTTGGAGGGAATCAGGTGTTCCTGAACCCAGGTTAATGCTACCAACCTAAATAAATGTGCTTGGTTAGCTTGAGAAGTCCCAGGCAATTTTAAGACTAAGATGTTTGTCCTAATTTCACAAGCAGAGCTTCTACTGTGACTTTCTTAGGAGACACTTAGAGCCTGGAAGCCTGGGACCTTAGAAGCTAAGAAGACCACTGTATGAACAAAATGTTTGCACTGCTTAGTTTCCATGCAGATGTTAGCTTCCCTTGTGTGATGTTATTCAGAAGTGGGATTTTCATGAGTTCTTAAGAGTGAAACCATCATGAATGGGATTAGTGCCCTTGTAAGAGCTGGTAGACCTCACTTGCCTCTTCTACTGCGTGAAGATTTTAATAAAAGCACATGGGAATGGCTATAGGCTTATGTAAAGATACCTTTAAGATCTTCCATAGAGCACATGGCTTGGTGCTTGCT